CAAAGAAGTTTGGGCCACCATCTTACAGGTAGACTCAAACAATGAACATTTCTTAGTCACAGGAGGGAATTAGAGGGATTGTTGCTAGCCCCCGTTCCCAGATTTAACCAGTCATATTGTTCCCCATGCCTCAGCTATGTAAACAATCCATGTTGCCTTCAACTCCATGATGTCACCCACCCTGTTCTGTTCTTTGTTCTGTACTCCCCCAAGAACCTACAAAAAGGGAGCTGTCATTTTGCTCAAGGTCTTTGGCTGGAAACTGAGGCAGTCATTGACCCATCTTATTCTCAGGCCGGTCTTGATAATAAAAAGGTTATTTTGCTCAGAGAAATATCTCAGTTTGCCTTTTTGTTAAATCTAACTTGTGACAGTATATCATAGAAAAAAACACTGACCTGGAAGAAAAATCAAAGAGAGATAATTTAAGAATCACTGGACTACCTGAAAGCAATGATTCCCCACTGTCCTCCCTCCCTAAAGAGCCTGGAAATCACATTCAAGAAATAATGAAAGAAAACTGCCCAGATCTTTTAGAACCAGGGAGCAAAGTAAAAACAAAAAGAACGTATTGGTCATTCCTGAAAGAGGCCCCCAAATGAAAACTCTCAGGGACACCAGGGCCAAAACACAGAATTTCCAGGTTTAAAAAAATATACTGCCAGTAGCCAGAAAAAAAAAAGTTCAAATACTATACTTAGAAGTCAGTCAGAATTACTCAGGATTTAGCAGCTACGACTTTAAAAGGAGCAGAGAGCTTGGAATATGGTATTCCAAAAAGCAAAAGATACAAGCTTACAACCAAAAATAACTTATCCAGCAAAACTATAATACAAGGTGGGAAAAAGGATCTTTAATGAAATAGAAAACTTACAAGCATTCTCGATGGAAAACCCAGAATTGAACAGAAACTTAGAAATACAAATGCAGGAGCCAAGAGAAACACAAAAGGGTAAAATATAAGTGAACAATTAGGAAGAGACTACACAAAAATGAAGTATTTATGTTTCAGTGGGCGAGTTGATATGTCGGCTCAAAACCCTAGTAAAATCATGGTTCACTGAGGGAGTTAAACAAGACAATGGACCTGTGAATGGTTTTATTATGTTTTAATGATCATGAAAGAATGAAAGGGAGGGAAAACAAAAGGGAAGAAAGGGGAAGGAAAGGTTCAACAGCTTATCTTACATAATTGGGTTGGGTGATAGAAAACTATACAAATAATGAGAAAAGGGTAGAGGGAGTGGTTGTCACTTGACCTTCATTTTTATCTGTACCAGTCAAAAAGGGGTAAACACAAACATACATAAACATATAGAGAAAGAGTTTGGTGTAGAAACATATTAAATTCAACAAAGAAATAGGAAGAAGGGAGACGGCAGGAATAAAAAAGTAGGTAGGCTTAGGGATGTATTAGTTATAAAAAAACCAATTCTAGCTTCAGAGGGTGGCTCATGAAGAGGCATTTAAAAGGAAAGAAAGGATAAGAAACTGGGTTCAGGGTCTCGATGAGGGGAAGAGAAAAGTGACAGGAGAGCAGATGAAGATTATTTGAATTACAGACCACTAGTGCTAAGTATACTCCTCTCTTACCACATTCTTTGTAAAGAGAGTTTAGGGAGCAAAGACAAAAAAAATATGTAAGAAAACTAGATGGTGGTAAGTGTACAATTAGTGATGATAACTATGAATGTGAGATAAAATTCACCCATAAAATGGAAGAGGATAGCAGAATAATCTAGAAAGCAGAATCCCATAATATGTTGTTTATAAGAAATATACTTGAAACATAAAGACTCACACAGAACTAAAATAAGGGACTAGAGCAAAATCTATTACGCCTCAGTTGAACTAAAAAATTGGAGGGTAGTCAACATGATCTTAGACAAAGCAACAGCAAAAATACTTTTAATTAAAAGAGATAAACAGAAAACCAACATTATTCTGAAAGGTAGCATAACGAATTAATATAAATACTTAACATATATGCATCAAATGGCAAATACCTAAAGGAAAAGGAAAAAGAAGCATAGCTAATAAAACTATAATAATGGGGCACCTCAATGATTCACTTTCAAAGGTAAATAAAATCTGACAAAAAATATAAGAAAGAAGTTAAATACCTGAATAAAATTTTAGAATGGTTAGATATGATAGAACTCTGGAGATTACTGAATGAGAATAGGAAGGTTTGTGTGTGTGTGTGTATATATACACATATATGTATACATACATGCACACATATATGTGTGTGGGTATATATATTTCTCAGCTGTGCATAGCACATTTATAAAAACTAACTATGTATTAAGGCACAAAAACCTTAGAAACAAATACAAAGAACCAGAAATATTATACAACATCATTTTCTGACCACAATGCATAAATATTATATTTAATAATGAGCCATTGAAGAAAGCATTAAAGTGAATTGTAGTCTAAATGGCTAAACTCCAAAGAATTCATATGTAAAAGAACAATTAATAGAAACAACAGACAATTTCATTAAAGACAATGACAATATTGAGATAACATACCAAAACTTTGGGTGATGTAGCCAAAGTAGACCTTATTGGAAAAAAAAATTCTAAACACTTTCATAAATAAAAGAGAAAAAAGCTATATCAATGAACTAGACACGTAACTAATAAAGCCAGAAAACCAGTAAGTCCAAAAAATTCAGTTAAACACAAATATGGAAAACCTGAAAATCAAAATAAAGATGAACAAAACTGAAAGCAAAGAACCAATGAATTAATAAATAACATTGGGAACTGTTTTTGTTTTCAATAGAAAAACCATTAATTAATTTGATTAAAAGAAGAAAACCAAATTACCAGTATCAAAAATCAAAAGGAGAATTTGCAACAAAAGAAGAATAAAGGAAATTATTAGAAACTGTTTTGTCCAATATATCCCAACATAACTGGAAAATCAGATGAAAGAATGAATATTTACAAAAACATAAAATGTCTCAATTTATGGAACAAGAAAAAAAGAATTGAAATAAACCAATCTCAGAAAAATAACCTTTCTGGGATCCTGACCTTTTTGGACTCTACCATGCCAAAAGAGCTTCCTTGACCCTAAAAGTTCACTCTATTCCTATGGCCTCTTCCTCTTATTGACTGTTTCTGTAGGCTAGATTCGTGAATATTATTACTGCTAAAAACAAAGTTGTATAAATCAGCATGCATCTGAGTGATGGATCAGTACTGGGTCAAACTGACCAAGGCCTGAAAAAGTAGTAATAGGAAGATAAAGATTTTAATAAAAATGTATTCATAACACTTATGCTATGGGTCTTGACACACGAGTGCTTGCTCACTCACTATGATTAAATTCATAGATAGATATAGCATTTATTAAGCATTTGCAATGTGCTAGGAACTGTTCTGCTAGGGATACAAATACAAGCAAACAAGAAAGTCCCTGACATCAAGGAGGTTACATTCTAACGGTGGAAGATGACATGTAAAAGGGAGATGGAAAGGATAGGATAGCGGAGGCAAGGGGCAGATAGGTGGTGCAGTGGATAGAGCACCGGCCCTGGATTCAAGAGGACCTGAGTTCAAATCTGGCCTCAGACACATAACACTTACTAGCTGTGTGACTCTGGGCAAGTCACTTAACCCCATTGCCTAGCAAAAACAAACAAACAAACAAACAAAAAGGATAGTGGGGGCAAATGAGTGGCACCATGTTAAGGAGATGGCTTAGAAGTGACATGGAGGCCTGGTTTTCAGCAAGAAAAGAAGAAAGCTCATCTATCAAAGCCCACCAGCCCAAAGGCTGAGTCCAAGGTTTAAGTCGGAGGGAAATGAGATTGATGGCCCAGGTGTAAGAGGCATGGTATGATGATTCGTAATCATTAGGGCAATGGGAAAGGCTAGTGAAGATTCCCAAGTCCAAAGGAATTCAGGTATCTATAAGGCAGCTGTTGGTTTTCGGTGGTAATTCAAAACCAGATCTCTCTTAACCAGAATTTAACATCTCTAAGAATTATGAGGCCAAAATCTAAACAATAAAAAAATTTCCTTCCAGAAACTAAAGGAGAAGGCTGACTTAATTTGGATAACTAGATGTTTGGCTAATATTCGAATATTTATTTTTAGAGTACGTAGTTACCTGTCTCCCATTCCGTTGGGTGGCTCCAGATTGTTTAAAAAAAATAGCCTATTTCAAAGCAAATTATATTTGGGATGGGGAGGGGGATTTACGGTGTGATATAATTACCCTAAATCTTGGCCCACCCTCTAGAGTTTTCCCTGGGACCTGAACTAATATAGGAATTCAATTCAATATCTGAGGGCTAGGTTTGCGGTTTCATGAGTATAGAGATTTCTAAGTATGGAAACTCCCTCCATGTATGCAGGCTGGATTTGAACTCAGGTCCTTCAGACTCTAGGGCTGGTGCTCTGTCTACTGCACCATCTAGCAGCTCCTACACTTCTTTGCAAGACATCTGTAGTCATGATTGTGTCCTTCTTTCTATTCCCCACAGTATTTTGTACAGAATAGTGAAGCAACAAATGTTTACTGATGGACCCAAAAGTAGGGAGGGGGATTTCCTTAAAAAATGTCCATTTAATTGGCAGTGTCTAAGAACACATTAACAAGTAAGCCCCTTTCATCCTTTTTAATGGCTAGGATAGAAAATAGCTTAGCAAGAGATCTAATATGTCCCTTGAAGTTTCATTATAATGGGCACAGATTGACCAACAGATGATCAAGTGTATGGCCTTAGTCCAACACTGGGATCTGGAAGGAAGTGGGATAAACTGCAATAAGTACTAAAAAAGCTCATCTGTTCTATCTGAAAACAATCTGATTCAATATTTTTCCTACTTCCACCTGAAATGCAATAAAATGATAAACCTCAACTCCCAAACCACTGACCTCTGTTTTAGCTAAATGCCGACTCATTAGCTATGCCAAAAAAAAAAATTAACTGATGGCTGGAAGAAAATCCAACATTACAGAAGGAGCTTTCAACATACCAGGCAATATTCTTCCCACAAGAGCATCCAGTAACCAAAAGGATTGCTCTTCACTCTTTGTAATGAGAAGCAGATATCCTGCCAGGAAATTCATTCCCTACAATAGAAAGAACAATGAAGAGGAATTCATAATGGGCTTTAAAATATTCTTTAAGTTCACATTAAAGACCAGTTTCCAGTTTACCCTGTCCGACCCAATAAATATAATACTTCAGATATAGAAATAATAATAATGATAATAATAAATGAAACTCTGGAAGCCATTTGCATTCTTCCTGTTTGGTTATGAATTATAATCAAGTCTCTTTGGAAAGGACTGGGAAATGGAGGAAAGAAGGAAAAGAAAAGATATTTAATAAAACTATTCTAACACTTCCTTTGAATATTGATGTTTAGCAATAGTTTTCATAATTTGATGACAGCCTAAGGAAAGAAATCACTTATCACCTATATAATATATATATATATATAAATATGTAAAATTATATAAAATAACCTATACCAGGTTTTCCCAAACCTTAATCTAATATACAAGGTGTCTCAAAAGTCTTTAATAGCTTAAATCTGCACTGACTTTTGGGACACTTTTTAAATCAGTTACATAAAAATTATCATAGAGCATAAAATATACTAGACAGCTAAAATTCATATGGAAATAAATAGTAGAGGAAAAAGTCTATTAAGAAAAGTAGCTGTAATGATTGTCAGAAATTTACAAGGTAATTTGGAGATCAAAACACTAAATATAGAACCAGGGTTTGTTGAAGAAAAAAATAAATAAGCCTTGGTAATAAAAGATAAGGTTTCAGTCTAATTAACTCTAACAACAACAACAGTTTTGGCTTCATACATTCAATACTTATATGTATACAAAAGAACATGTAAAAATATAATCTAGTGAATTATTTAGATGCAGTGATAACCAGTATCTATTATTGCTCTTTGAGGCTGGCTTTTTGAAAAGCTTCTCTTATTTCATTCCTCTCTCCTGTACCTTCCCCCTCCTTCCTCCCTTTCCCCCAGAATTAATCTGTGATGACAGGCAGCTAAATGGCCTTGGGTTCCTCAAACTGTATCCAATCACAAGAGAAAAACAGTGTTCCAAATGGAGTAACACAGCTAAAATCAACCAGATTCTGCTGGGCAGAACGCCACATTAAGCAAGTTACTAGAACCATCTTGCAGAGCTGAGTTTTAAGTGGAGGCCACAAGCTATTTCAGTTATCTGTCACTGGCCCTTTCCAAAAACTCTTTGAGTCAGTCTGGCTTTCTCTGTGTGTGCCTCATGCACTAAGGCCTAAAAATCTCAAAAGCTGCTTTTCAGTCCTCATGACAGCAGATAGCTTGATGCCTGCAACCATGGTGACAGAAGCCTGTTTGGTGCTTTCACAGAGTGGGCACAAAAGACAGCTCTTCTGAAAACATTCCAGGAGGCAGCATTTCAGTAGCCAGCAAGGTCTGCAGAACAGAAGCTTACAAGGCTGGACTGGCCCTCACCTTCAAACTCTCTTGGTTTGTTTTTTTTTTCCTTGCCTGGTGCTTTGACCTTTACTCTCTAGGAAGCGCAATAACTGAAAAAGTATTGCCATAGAAAAAAATGCAGACAATCGAAAGCACGTACACACATAAACATACAACGTCTGACTCAAACAGCTTCATTAAATGTAAGAAATAAGTGTTTTCCAGACTGACACCACTTTACACGTACATCACTGGGAAGGACTTTTTTTTCTTCAGTAATTCATGCAAATTTATACTGAAAACTAAGAACATGATGAAAGCTTAAAGTGCTTTACAAATGTTAGTTATACTGATAATAATATCAAAACCATGTGGGATCAGGACACCATGCCTGCTGTTCTGTCTACAATTAGGGTTGCCCTGAAGATATTTTTAGTGAGCCTACAGAAAATGATCTTAGATCCCAATACTCTCCTCCAGTTACAAAAAGCAGGCATTTTACGTACCTATTTAACAGTTTACATAATAATAATAGCAAGCATTTATATAATGCATTAGGGTTTACAAAGTACTTTACAAATATCTCATATATTCCTCACAACAACCCTAGGATGTAGGTGCTATTATGATCCCCATTTTACAGATGAGGAGCCCAAGACAGACAGCAGTTAAATGACTTTTCTAGTAAAGGTATAAGGCTAGATTTCAACTCAGGTCTTTCTAATTCTAGGTCTAGAAGATAAAATAATAATAGCAGGATACAGACTTTCATTCAATTACAGAAAGCAGTCATTTTATCCAGCAATGTAACAGTTTGAAGAATAACAGAGCATAAAAGAATAGTAGCAAGACAAAAATTCATCCAAGGAGTTTAAGATCATTAAGAATGTCTTCAAAAAAATGAGAACAAAGTATTATTACATATCATTTTTGATTGTCCTGTCTGCTGATGGAGTTATCCTGAAAATGCTTTCCATGAGCATATAGAAGACAGACTGACATTCAGATACTTTAATTCAATTACAAAAAGCAATCACTTCACATTAAACATTTGAAAAATGGCTAATAGTATTTTAAAGTTTGTAAAGCATTTTATAGACATGCAAGGGTTGGGTAGAGCCCCAGTGAGACCAGCAAAAACATGAAGGTCTGCAGAGGCTAAAAGTCAGAGATACGGAAAAGTAAAGTGAGAAAACTTCAGGTGGAAAGCTGAAAGGCTGGGAGGGATAAATAAGTCAATTGCATATTACGGAAACATATTAAAAACCTCCTTAGCTCAAATGAAAATTACATTTCTCAAATCTAAAAACTCTTTCCAGACTTTTTTTTTCTTTTGAAAATGTATAAAAGGTTAAAAAAGAGAGCTAAGGTGCCAGGAAATAGATCAAAGGTGATGATCAGATTTAATGCTTGCCTTGTTTAGATCATTGCCTTCTTACCTCTTGGAGTGGCAGAGCTATTAAATTACTCTTCTTCCTCCATTGTTTTTCCACTGAGAAAGGATTAATGTACTGATCTCAGGGAAGAGGTGTCTTTGATTACTCCAGAACACTTTATGGGAGTGGTAAAACAAGGTATCGAATAGTGACTATTATTTTGGAATATTAACTCCAAACTGTATTTTAATATATAATCATCTTTCCCTTGTTCAAAATGTCTATAAATATAACTTTCAAACAATCTTAGAGAGAGGGATATCTAAAGCCATGGTGGAGGGGAGTGCTACCCCAGTTTGGACATTTCTCTAATGTTTTTAAAAAACGGTTTCAGGAAGAATTGTTCCTAAGACTCACAGTACAGTATTAATGTTTTTCTTGACAATATGAAGAAGCCAGCAAGATGATGAATACGCCTCCAGGTCATAGAAAGCATTTATACCTTTGTTTCTAGCCCCTGTCTTCATAAAATTCCCAAAGGAGTATAGAACGTAAAAATGACTTGAATTAAAACTAATTACCCTAAGGTAACATGAAACTAATTACCCTAAGTAGCTCGTGGAGGGAAGGGACTTTTGAGAACGGAAAAATGTTGCCATAGCTGAAAAATCTAGCTGACTACAATTTATCCATCAAAAAATGAGTGCTGGAGATAAGCTGATTGACCTAGCAGACCCAGTCTAGCAGAAATGTTGTGCCCTAAGAGCGCAGGCAATAGCAGGAGACTGGTAAGGAGCCAACAGTCACTGAGTGATCTGCTTGACCCAGCCCAGGGGCAGATTGTCCCTTCCAGCCAACACACAGAAACCCTAGGAAAAGCAACTAAGTTACATGTCCAGTACAGCCTCTGTGCCCTGCAAGAAGCCCGCCCAGCAAACTGCCAGCCCAGCTAACAGCAAAATGAATTGTGGCGAACCTTTGGCCACATGGGCATCCTCCACTTGTACCTCATCACTACCATACCTTAAGTTTGTGCCCATTCTTTTTGACCTTGGACTTGGTGTATATATGGGAAAGCATGCTCCTGGCATCAGAGCAAATGTTTTCAAATCACTGCCCTTGCTATGCCATTTGAGTAAATAATGACTTTGCTAAAGAACTGAGTCTATTGTCTAATCAAGGAGAAATGTACCAGTGGAGGCTAGTGAGCTAGTGTTCAGGATAGCCACACGCAGGGTCATCCCTAGATCTCTGGAAGTAGTAACAGCCACCCGTCTGGGGACCCAAGCTACTAGTAGTGTTATACACATGATCTCATTTGAGCCTCGTAACAATCCTATGAAGTAGGTGCTATTATTATCCCCTTTACATATGAAGAAACTGAGGCTTAAAAAGATTAAATGACTTGCTTAGTCACATAGCTAGTAAGTGTCAGAGGCAAGATTTCATAGTACATCTTGCCTGATTCCAAGCCCAGGACTACATTCCCTCTATGTCAGAAATTAACTTCTATATCTGCAAGGAATAGCTCTTAATGCTCAATATATTCATGGCTGTTACTTTTTCATCTATTTATTACAATTATTTAGGGTAGCTTAGACTGTACTTACCTGGCAATATCCTACACCTCGATTATGATGTCCATATGCTACCAATACATTGTACAGGGTATGTTGTAAGCAGGGATCAGCAGTCTGTCTGAATTTTACATTGTCTGGAAATGTCCTGTTCATGTCTATGGATGCATATGAGAAGAATAAGAGGAAGATATGAACTGGGAAGACAGATGAAAATAAGCACTCAGAATGACGGTATGTCTAACACACATAACTACTGGGAATGCTTATGACCATGCCCTGTAATGTTCTTGTATTTTATTTAGACTTCAATTCATCCAATAACTCCTCCTTAAGGCAGGGAAATTTTATAGTCTCGAAAGGATTCAAGATGGAGCAGTGATTCCTTCACTATTGGATTCATCCCTAAAGAACTTGTAACTTCCTTTAAAGTAACTGGCTTATATGAACTCACTCCTTCAAATCAGGGAAAGAAATGAACACACTCCATGGGTTCTATTGATGGGAGCGCAAGGTTGGGTTGACAAAGGACCATTAGAGACTGCTGGGGAAAGACCCAGAGCTGTGTGCTCCATCTGCTGCAACTCAAAGTAGGAGGGTCTGGAGCTCTGTGCAGGGAAACCATGAAGCAGGACAGGAATGAATGGGATTCTTGATGCTCTCATATTTGAGGGCATCCTTGAAACATGTATGAGGGTCATAGGAACATGTATGAGAAAAAGAAAGAGGTCAAAAGTGCTACAGAATTTTGTCTCATTCCTTCCCTATCCCTTTCTATGACTGTAAGCAAATTCCTTCTCCTCACCATATCTCACTCAAGTTATTCTCATAATTAAAGATTAAGGTACACTCAGTTAAAGAGGATTTTTAACTGTAAAGGCTATGGGCTATGAATAATAATAGATGCAATTTTTTTTTGCCTTGGATTTGGAAAAGAAGTCATAATTCTGTCAGTTCAGAAAAAGGGGAGATTTTTGAGACCTCTTCCAGAAATATAGAGACAAACAAAATTAAGTGAAATTAAATGCAAACCTTCCTCCCCACTTCTTTGCAAAGGTGGGACGAGGGTAAGGGTTTAGGGAACACTACATGTATTGTCAAACACCTAATTTATTATTGGTTGCTATTTTTCTTCCTTTTTCACTCTTTGCTACAAGGTATGGGTCTTTGGGTGAGAGGGTAGAGAATATTTGGAAATCAAGGTAAGAAAACAAATGATATTAATAAAAATTTTAAAAAACAAATTTAAATTGGTTTAAAAAAACAAATTAGATGAAAAGCATTAACCCGACCATTGTGTGCCCTTCACTGAAGCCTCTTTTAGCCAGAAGAGCCTCTTTGCCCCACCCTCTTCCTTCGGATGCTCCCCTGCTTCCTCCATCCTTTCAGTATCTCTCACATTCTAACATCTTTCAGCAAGGTCTCTCTTTACCACATCATCTTTCCTCTGATCCACTCTATATTGACAACCAATTCTGTAAAATTTTGACATTTTAACGGTTTTTCAGAACTTACTATTGCCTTGTGAGTGGCCAGACATCACTAAAATAAGCTGCAACATTTTAAAATTGATTCCTAAATGTTAATTTTGTACATAAGCAGTAAAAACACAGATTCAATATCAATTTTATGTTTTCCCCTCTTCAAATCTGGGGGTGGAAACTCTCACTTAAATCAGTAAGTGTTTGCTATCCCATCATTTATGGTAATCCTAATGGACACTGACAATTTTACATGAAAATCAGTCCTTTGGGTCACAGCTCTGGAGCTAGATGGGACATCTGAGAATCTTTTAAAAATTCTTTGGATTCTTCTGTTTTTTACATCATAATAGCTATCCCCTCTCATTCTCTCCCTCCACCTCCCACAGAGTCATCCTATTGAAAAAATAGTACTTTTTTAAGAGGAAAATATGATCAGTACCATTGATCGAGACATTGAAAAATATATACAACGTGTAACACTGTGGACCTCCCACCTCTGTGAAGGAGTAGGTGGTGGGCATTCCCAACCTATTAATTTTATAGATAAGAAAACTGAGGCATGTGGAGGTTAAATGACTTGCTGAAGGTCACAAAGGGAGTGTCAGTGAAACTAGCTCCTCCAATCTTGGAACTAGAGTTTGTTAGATTGTACCAGACTTCTTCCTTACTTGGAGCCATCAAATAAGAAATATCCAGACAGCTCATAACATCACAAGGAAAATTATCATAGGGATCAAATGAGAGTAAATTTTATGAATTATCATGGATTGTCTATAACTCACCCTGGGTTTTAATCCCATTCAATTTAAAAAATTTAACCTCATTGGCAATATGGCCTAAGAGACAGAGGACCAGACAGGTTTAAAACAACAACAACATCCCATTCTGTTTTCCTAATCTGAGCATTCTACCCCAAACCAGGTTTTATTGTTCCAAATTCAGAATGAGCTGTTTTAGCCACGATGAGTGACTAACAGCCAGGCTGATTATCTGGGCAGTCACCTACTTAACTCATGCTATGAGACCTTTGGCTGCACATCTGTTCTGTGCTGACCTCAGCTGACCAAGAATTCTGAAAACTGGGGACAGGTTGACAACCATTGACCAGAATGCCTGGTTAGCTCCCAGTTCTCTGGTCCTCAGCTGGAGGCCCTTTGAACTTTGAGTTCCAGGTGCTGGGGAAAATAGTCACGATAAGATCACAGGACCAGGAGCTATTGCAATTGAGGACGCACTGGACCAAAGTCTCATTCGTATCCAAGGAAATGCAACTTTTGAATAATTACAGGTATTTTAAAACTCACACCATTAAAAGTTCATTTGATCTCCAATAAGACATTAAGTACAATAGGTCTACATTTTTATTTCTCTCAAAAAAGGTAAGATCTAAGAGGCAGAGCTATTTCAAAAGAACATAGACACGATACAAGATGTGATAGGTTTTTTTTTTATAAGTTCTCTCAACTGGCAAAGTACATTCTACTCTCACTCTTCCTTTTTCCACCCTTTGACAATTGATTGTCATTTACAATGCAGAAAGGTGTAAAATGAGAGGTCTATAGGTAGGAATATTGGCCAGTTAATTCTAAAATATCACCATTCATTATTTTAGTTTAGTCTTTAAAACTCTCATATCCTGTTACCTGAATTGTGTTACAGCATCAAAAAATATTGATTCTTCCATATGAAATGAGAAAACCAAATGCTAAGAATCATCTTCCATTGACATTTTAATGGTAATCAATTCTAAGATGATGTGAAGATGAGGTGGACACAGAGATAATAGATGAATAACATGAAAGCAAATAAGAGACTAGAAAAATCAGCCTCCTTGGAAACTTATTATAGATTGATACTAAAAAGGAAGTTCTAAAAATTGAAACCTAGGTGTGGGTATCTGTATGTCCCCACCAACTTCCTTCCCCACATGTTCAACCCTGCTTTTTTGTTGTTGTTCTGTTGTGATTTCCCTAGTGGAGGGGAGCTCTGGGTATGGAAACTCCCTTTGCCAAGGTAGAGTTATAACCTGTCTGCTGCTTATAGTCTTAAAAGGTTGCCTTGGGGCACTGAGGGGTTATGAAAATTGATGAGGGTCACACAAATAGCATGTATCAGAAGAAGAATTTGAAGCCAAACCTTCCAGACTCAAATGCCCTCTAACTACTACATCTTTCATTCTCACCTTCTCCCACTCACTCCCCCCTTTTAAAAGAAGACCTGTGGTTTTATTGGTGTAGGGATCTCCTAGGGAAGGGCTTCTCCTTCCAATGCCAGTCTTTGCCTGTTCTGCTCTTTTGAATCTAAAGGTAACCCAGAGCCCTGAGAATACCTTGCCTAAATACCTTGCCTAAAGACACAGGTCTTCTGATTCTGATTCTAACTTTCTACCACACTGCCTCATATTCATTTCTCCATCTAAACCACCAAAACCATTTTCTTAAATGAGCTACCTTTTCAAATTAAGAACAATTTGTTAATCTTCATTATTATATCCAATATACAATTTCATTCACTAGTGCTAAGTCTAATTAAATGAGTCAAACTGTGAGAGCAGAGCTTGCTGTCCCCTACAGCACTGTCTAGTTTTCATCATTAACACTCACTGCCATTGGAGTAGGAATGAGGAGGATGTCACCTGTCTTGATCGACTCCACCAGCTTGTCATTTCTTTCACCTTCCAGTAGCTTCCGATAATATCCTGGGTTCTGGTCCATCTGTTCCTGGGCTCCGCTTGTGGCCATCCAAACAAATGCGCGGTGTTCATTGGGAACACCTTTCCTTACATATCGTTTTACTGAAAGAAGAAAACACCATAAAGTCAGCTTTGGAAGGAAAAGACAAAGCCTAAGTAGAACTGGAAATCCAGAGAAAAGAAGGACCTTGGATCAAATAGTAATGAAACTCGAATGCCTCCAGCCCTTGCCACACAAGCTTAATGACCACAACAAAAACCTGATACACCTTCACCAAAAACTGTACACACTCCAAAACCTATTTTAAAAAATAAAATATGCATAATCAATAAGCAATACACATTCTACATCAAGGCCAAATTATTTATCAACCATCAATCAATAAGTTATATGTGCCAGGCACCATCCAAAGAAAGCAAAAAACAGTCCTTATTCTTAACTAACTTATAATCTAATGGGGAGGACAATTTTAATAACATTGTTCTAAGTGTGTTCACAGGGCAGCTAGTGAAGTGAATAGAATGCAGGATCTGAAGTCAGAAAGACTCATCTTCTTGAGTTCAAATCTGGCCTCAAACACTTACTAGCTGTGTGACTCTGGGCAAGTCACTTAATCCTGTTTACCTCAGTTTCCTCATCTGTAAAATGAGCTGGAGGAGGAAATGACAAACCACTCCAGTATCTTGGCCAAGAGAATCCCAAATGGGGTCACAAAGCATTGGACACAACTAAAATTGACAGGTGTTTCAATGCTACTAGTTGTCTTGTTGTTTTAATAAAAAGTCATGAGCCATAAGGCGTTTATCAATCATTAAACATTTATTAGTCATCTACTGTATGCTGGCACTGTGCTAGATATTACAGATACAAATACAAACATGAAACAGTCCTTGCCCCTGAGGAGCTTGTAACAAATATGTAAAAACATAGGTATTTTAAAAGTAGATAAAAGGTGATTGGAGGTGGGTGGTGGAGTAGAAGATACTAGAAGCTGGGGAAATAAGGAAAGGTTTCATACAGGTGGTGGCCCCTTAACTGAACCCTAAAGGAAACCAGAAAATAGATCCAACACTTAGGATAACTCATAATAATAAGCTCTCTGTTCTCTCCTCTTGCCTATACTATTCTCAACCAGGCCACATCTCTCTCTACATTCCTTTTCAGGACCTAGTCCCAGAGTCACTCCATTTAAGACGTCTCTGTTGACTAAACCCTATTTCATGTTGATTATTGCCATGTCTTATATCCCTCAGAACTCACATATAGTTTGTATGTCTCCATGGTACTGCAAATTGTTTTTGCTCCCTAAGGGTTTCTTGTCTCCTTGACTTGAATGAAAACTGTTTGAGGGAGGTCCCTGTTTTTTACCTTTTAACACCTTCTGGAGCCCTCAGAACAATACTGCAATTATAGGAGCCATATAACATGTTATTGAATTGGTTTGGAGTAAAACCATTAAAATTAAATCAGAATCAATCAATCCAGGGGTTGAGCAACTTTCTCAAGAACAAATTAATATGTGATGGAGGCAGGATTCTTCCTCTCTCTCTAAATCTGGTGCTCTTTCCCAGGTATCATACAGCTTTTGTTATGAACACCCACTCAGATCACTGGCACATGCACATACACACATGCACACACGGGAAGTCAAAGAAAAAGGAAATACAATCACTTATTGTATTGTTTTCTAGAAACTAAGAAGACATTGGTAAAAATAGGAAGGGATGCTTAAATAACCTTCCAAGGATAAAGAGACAGAATTCGTTACAAAGCACCAAGCAACTGAGGCCAGTCTACTCTTCAATTAGGGTTCGTTGTAGTCACAAAAGCCCCTCCATCGTATGTGGAATCAAAATTGGGATTCTTTAGTTCTGAGGGCTCTAAACCCTCCTGAAGGTCTGAACCAGACTAAAATGTAATTGGGAACTATTAAATAAAATTTTAAAAATGTGGTTTTCTAAGTCAATGTGTAGCCAGCAAAGATCTTTATTTTTTTTAAACTTTGTTTATTTATTTATTTTTTTAACACTTTTTGGTACCCAAAAGTATTGATGAAAAGTTGTCTCCTATCCTTTAAAAAAGAAAAGAAATGGTTGCTCCTTTGGTTATAGGCTTGTTGCCTATAACTACGTTGTACTTTGGAAGCATGCTTGTTGCAATGAATGACATTCTTCCTGGCCAGGTCAAGGGGGAAGAGTGAACAGTTTAGCACAGTTTGAAACAGAATCCTCCCCAGAAGAAAGGTGTCCTTCCAGTGGAATGTATTGGAAAATGCTTTTATTTCTTCTCGGTGCTCTTCAAGTTTCACCAACCTGTTTTCTTTTGAGATGGCAGAAAACACTAGAAACAATAGTCCTCAAAATGTTGAGGTTTAGGGTGTACCCCAAAATGTTGGGGTACAAGGTCATCTTGAAAGAATTTTCTCAGTCCATTTCTAAATCAAGTAAAGGCATTTATTGTGTATAACACAACACACCAGGCAGGCTCCTCCACCCCTTAAGGGAGACGCAGCTTAAAGGAGATCCCAGCTTAAGAGGGATGGCAGCTCCCCAAGGGAGAGGGTTGCTTCAGGGAGATGGCTCCTTAAGGGAGATGCTCACTTAAGGGGGACACCTGCTAAAGGGACATGCCCTAAAGATCTTTTGCTATGGTTTAGCGGCCCTGTTTCTATCTAATTTCTGACATCTCTCTTTTAGGCTAGCTTATTCGAAAAGCTAATTTTAGGCAGATCAACCTGAATTAAAGAAGAGGTTTGTGACTTTTTCAAGTCAATCCACAACATTTAAGAGGCATCTTATTGTTTTGTTGTTGTTCAGTCCTGTCTGACTCTTCATTGACCCCATTTGGGATTCTCTTGGCAAAGATATTGGCGTGGTTTGCCATTTCCTTCTCCAGCTCATTTTATAGATGAGGAAACTGAGGCAAACAGGGTCAAGTGACTTGCCTAGGGTCACATAGCTAATAAGTGTCTGAGGCCAGCACTGAACTCAGGAAGATGAGTCTTCCAGACTAGTACTCTATTCACTGAGCCACCTAGCTGCTCCTAAGAGCTATCTAACACATAGTAAAACCAAGAATGGTATTGGATGCAGACGACATGGGCTAAAGTATCACTGCTACCAAAGGCAAATCACGTCCCGTCTCTGTGGCTCCATTCCTTCCTTTGTATGAATGAAGGGCTATGAATAGATAGATGACATCTATACATCTCTAGCTCTAAATCCTATGATTCTCAGGTATGCAGTCAAATAGCCAGACTTTTCCACCTTACTTTGGCCAGAGGGGAAGGATGAAATGAAGAAAATGCATGTCTTTGAAAGGCCAGGGCCATATGCAAAAAAATTTGTATTAATATTCAGAAATCATTATGGAATACACAAAAGTATATAACATATTTATACTATATGTAGTATATACATACATAATATATTTACTAAATCTATTTACCATATATTTAGTAATTACATTATATTATAATTGTTTACTAAATAATTATAAATCTACTAATTTACTAAATAATTATAAATATTTAGTAACTATATATTATATAGCTATATGTTTATATATAAATAACATCCTAATTATAATATATTTACCAAATACATTTTTACTAAATACATTGTATCATACATGTTACATATATTATATAAATATGAAACATAATTTTGTGTATTCCATAATGATTTCTGAATCTGCATTAGTACATATTTTCTGCATATATATACATGTGTGTATTCTATAATTATTTTATATATCCCTATATGTATAAATCATATATAAATACAAATTTTGTATGTTCTATAACATATGTAAAATATTCTATAATATATGAAAGATCCCTCTATATCTTTTGTTTTTACATCACATATTTTCCAATGTGTCTCTCCTCTCTCCCCGTCCCAGAAAGCCATCCCTCATGACAAAGAATAAAAAAGAGAGGTGAAAAAACTGCAGCAAAACCCAAGCAAGATTTCAAAAAGTCTGACATATGTAGTATTCCACACACATAGTCCCCCACCCCTGCAAAGAAGTGGGATTCAGTGCCTTCTTTGAGGTCAAGCTTGATTATCAAAACACAGCATTTGGTTCCAATTGTTTTGCTGTTGTTCTTTCCATTTAGAGGCAGCTAGGTGGCTCAGTGGATAGAGAGCTGGCCCTAGAGTCAGCTGAGTTCAAATTCACCCTCAGAGTTAGTAGCTATATAGCTATATAGTTACTTAAACAGTTTGCCTTGGTTTACAACAGGGATAGTAACACTTATCTTGCTGGGTTGTTGTGAAGATCAAATGAAATAATTTTTGTAAAGCACTTAAGAACAGTGCCTGGCACACAGTAGGAACTTATTCTTTTCCCTTTCCTCTTCCCCCATTTACATTGTTGTATTCATGGTGTAGAGCGTTTTCCTGGGAACACAAAAGCATCCAGGTATCTCAGAGCAGCTGGGAGAGGACCTTCCTGGCAGGTCTCAAACAATGTGATATGAACCAGTGCCACATGCTAAGCATGATTACAGTCCTTAAAAGAATACTCTTAAAAGAGATGGATTGATATAAGCTATTCCAATATTAGTATTATGATATCAGTATAATACTCATCAGGTATATACCTGAGTATATACCATCAGTACCACTCATGGTAGACAGGGGCCTTCTTCCTCCTCCCTGGAGCCTCTCTAACATTTATGGCCATTGCTATCTATGCCTTTATGGGTATCGATTACAACTACTTCTCCACATATAGCACCTGGCACGGGCCGATGGCCAGTGGTGACAGAAACAGAGTCACAGAAGCTTACCTGCTGCTACCAACCCTCTAAGAACACCCAGCAGGAGCTTGATGCAGTGACTTGAGGTTAACTGGCCAGTGGCCCAGCTGTCCTTCTGCAGGAGGGACTCTGGCAGGATAGGCTGACTCCTCTTACCTCCTAACTCGGGCAGCTACCGCTACTCCTTCCAGGAACAGAGAGCTTACACTTCCTATTTGACTGCTGTCTGAATAAGACTGTCCTGTGCCCTTCCCCTGAAAAATTTCTGAAAAGTTGTTTCTTGCTTCCCTATATTCTGTTCTACACCCACCATTTTCCAAGTCACTAACATGCTTG